ATCTGGCTCGAGTGGTTCTCTCGCTGGAAAATGTGATCGCGGCGTCGGCGGGATCTCATCGTCGTCGACAGGGTGGAACGTGGCACGAGCGAGCTACACGAAGGTCATCGAGGATCGTCCGCATGGCTGGATCGAAATGAAAGAGTCTATATAAAAGGCGAGACATCGAGGGGCATCGATGTCTGTGTGTTCTACTTATTTTTTTCTTTTTATCTCCTCCTTTGCTTTTTGCCCTCTCTCGATCACCCTACGCACTCTTCTTTCTCCTCTTCTGTATACTCTTTTCGTTCTTCGCTTCTTTTTTTTTCGTTCCTTCTTCCTTTTTTTCTTCTTTCTTTCTTTCTTTCTTTCTTTCTTTCCTTTTTTTCTTTTTTTCTTTTCTCTTCTTTCTTTTTTTATCTTCACCGTTCGTTTCGATCTTATCCCCCGCCTCCCGTTTCCACTTTCGTTTCTTCTTTCCTCCTTGCGTTGCTTTTGGCGAGGTCCGGGTATACGTGCTTAGTCCGTACTGCGGAGATCCCGTTACGTCAGTAGTGTGTCAGTATTAACAACGGAACGAGACCTCGAGCGTATCGTTAGAATTCGTTGACGAAGAAAAAAAACGGAGCAAGGGGAACCGTTCTTCTTTTGCTCGAGGAACGACAAGGAATGCGAGGATTCGTAACCTTCGTGGAAGCTTGTTTCCTTCTGTTAGACGCGAGGATAGTTGGTGAAGAATTGTCTTGAGAGAGAGAGAGGGAGAGAGAGTGAGAGAGAGAAAGATATTTCGGGAGAAACCTAGTGTCTAATGGGAGGTTGACCATGGTGGGCATAGATTACATATCAAGGGGCTGGGGAAGCGAGACCAATACTTTTTCTCGAGCAACTGTCGTTGTATAACGATTTCACTCGTTGTCGAAATATTTGAAAAAATGTTTAGAGATAAAAAAAAATATATATATATAAATAAAAGGAATAAATAAAATCGGAAAATTGACAATTCCTCGCGAAGCTGACAGATCAGAACACAGAACAGTTGCTTCTACGTTGACCCAGCGCGTATATAACGTTATCACGTATCGCACAGCGGCAAACCATCACGTGTTTTCCACCATTGTTCGTTTCCGTGGCACGCGTACGAGCTACCACGTCTCTTTTACGTGCATATTTTTAAACCGGGGAATAAGAAAGAGAGAAACAGAGAGAGAGAGAGAGAAGAGAGAGAGGAAGGGAAAAACAATGAAAAGGAAAAAGCAAACGAAAAAGACACCTCCACGATCTCGAAGCCGAGTGCACCACCGCGTTCCTCGTTGACCATTTCTCATGGGATCCAAAATAAATCGGAGGTTCCTCATCGACCATTATAGAAGATACAACATTGGATACAATTATCTGAGAGTGTTCAGGGGATCTGGATCAATCGTGCACGCGAGTATGCCCGCTTATATATTATGAAAAACAAGATAAACTTACTCCGTCACGACGAAGAAAATAGAAAGAAACAAATATATATAATAAAATACATCCGACTCGCGAGAATCTTTTTGCTATGGAGCAAGAAACGAAAGAGAGAGAGAGAGAGAAAGAGAAAATATGGAAAACAATAATATTAACAATAAATGGGAAAGAGAGAAGAAAGCAAAAGTCTCATTGTTCTTCGATTCTGATAGCTCTGTCTGTCGTTGTTTTATATACTCTATACGTGTATATATATTATATATTGATAGCCATACATGCGCTTCGAATACGAATATCTATTTATGTTTTCACATTGTTCAGATTTTATTTACAACGCTTGGAATTGTGCTCGCAAGAGAGAAAGAGAGGGAGAGAGTGAGAGAAAGAGTGAATGAGTGAATGAAAGAATGAAAGAAAGAAAGGAAGATTTTTTGTAGGTAATCAAGTTTGAGAAGATGCATTTGTTTTTGCACGTTGAATATCGGATACCTCGGTCCCGCGGTTTTTTCGCCGGAAACTGTTTCGACAGGAAA